AGCATTGTAGCGGCTGGCAAACAGCTAGCATGCGCACGTGCTTTGTTAATGACGTAGCGTGTTGCGACGTGTTAGCAGCTCGTGGCATTTAAACACCAGGTTAGCACCGCGCTAGGAGAACTTGGAGCACACGGTCACAGAGGGAGGTCTCACCTGTGCTTGGAGGCCCAGGCGGGGGGGTGTGGTCAGGAGGCCACCTGGGCTTTGCTGAGGTAGCTGGATCAGATTTGATGCGGAGAGCAAAGCTGTGGAATTAAAGAAAAAAAACAGAGACAAATTTAAAAGACGTCACAGAGAGAGAGAGAGGTGTCGGCTGAACCAAAACAAAACCAAACTAAGATAAGATAAACTAAATTAAACTACACCAAACCAAACCAAACTAAACTAAACTAAACTAAACTAAACCAAACTTAGATAAACTAAGCCAAACTAAACTAAACTAAACCAAACTAAACTACACCAAACTGAACTAAACTAAACTAACTCAGCTAAACTAAATTTAAATAAATCAAAACAAAACAACAAACTAAGCTAAGCGAAACTAAACTAAACTAAACCAAACCAAACCAAACTAAACTAAACTACACCAAACTAAACTAAGCTAAATCAAATCAAACCAAATCAAATCAAACCAAGCTAAGCTAAGCTAAGCTAAAGAAGGTTTGAGCCAGGATGCGGCCACAGGTGTGTGTGCTCCTGGTGGTGCTCACCCTGCGGCGGCTGCTGGGCCTGTGCAGACTGAGGCAGGAGGAACTGGGCCGGAGACTGAAGAGCGTGACCAGGCATCAGGACCAGCTGCTGGAGCTGCAGCAGCTGCTGGATGTCCTGCAACCACAAGAGGGCAGAAAAAACAACTATCAATTCAAATCCTGCTGCTGCCAAACTCCTTCTTTTCTCTCCTCCTCCTCCTCCTCCTCCTCCTCTTCCTCCTGTACCTGTGCCGTGAGCTGGATGGGCTGGGACAGGGTCAGCTGCGGCGGGGGCGGGGCCTGGATGGTTTGCTCCTGTTTGATTGGCTGCTGCTGATGCTGAAGCTGCTGCTGAAGCTGCGTCTGACTCTGCTGCTGCTGCTGCTGTTGCTGATGCTGCTGGTTGGCCTGTTGCTGTGCAGCAGCGCCAGCAGCCACCGCAGCCTGGGCGGCGTGTGCAGCGTTCGACTGCTGCACGGCAGCGGCC